CTATCAACAGCAATCCACATATAATCATTTAAACTGCTCCAGACTGAAACCTCCCCATCAGATCTGACCCTCCTCAACGTGAACTGTAATAACTTTGGGTAGAAGTATAGCGCTGTTATCAGGTAACAATTTATCTACTTGTAAAAGCAACCACACCCTTAATTATGCATAACTTTAAGCCTTAATATAAACAGGTGAGTTATATAAACATTCAGCCTCTGTACAGCTGTCATAAACGGGAAATTTCACTACAGAGACCAAAACAACCAGGCAGTAAACATGTTTATTTCTGCTGTAATCTTTTAATACGGGGCCTTATGAAGACTGACTCACTGCTGGAGCCAGCCTCTAGTGGCCGTTTGAGGAACTGCGGTGTTTTGATTCAAAATAGAAAACTGGGCTGAACTTTTTTCAGCTTCTAAAGGGGGAACACAGGGTTTAAGTAATTTAATGTGATAAACATTATAGCTGAACAATCAGCATGTTAGCATGCTGCGTTAGCGTCTAGCTCGATAAATGCTAATTTAAAACCTCACAGGGCCACCAGCATGTTTCTGTAGGTTTGACTACATCGGTACTACGACCGAGCTCAACTGTTTCAATTACTAATCAACTACTAACTAACTAATTCATTACTTATCACCTATTCTGACCTCTTGCTAGATAGTTGTCACACACGTCCATGTATTATTACTGACTCAAGTTGACTTGGTTGTAATCTTATTCGTGTGTTTATGTTGCTCTTAAACACACATTTTATATTTTCTTAAATGAACCACCACAGTCTTTCCCTCACTGGTCTTTTCCAGCATCAGATCCAGTCCAGAAATATCTGTTCATTGATGTAATGGAATCTCTGAGCTGCAGTGGAGACCGAAGACCACAGTAAGTGACACCATTGATGCTGAACACTTCCCCCTTCAGTCCACATGGGGGCTTCAGTGAGCCACCAGAGCTCACCGCAACCAGTTACTGGGGCCCCTGAAGGAAAAAGGAGCATCAGGACGGAAGGTAGTGACGCTCATAGGAAAGGGACTTATTATCTGCTGCCACTTGAGGGAGCGGTGGCTGCAGGAATCTCCCGTATTCACAGCCACGAGGACGGAGGATTGCGGCCATTACAGGGGTCAGCTGTGTGTAATTGTTAAAAGCATTAGGAGATGTTGGCTCAGCGTGTCGATAGTTAGAGCACCTTAAATGTGGTTTATCTCGTTATTGTAGCCTGTTGATTTTGACATATGATACGTATGCCGTCCACATACTGCATGCTGTCTGCAGGCAGGAATGAACTTTGATTTCAGAGGCTGACCTTTCAATTATAGAGAAGAACTCGCCCTCAGAGGAAACATTTACCACCGCCTTGTTCTCCAGCGCTTGTCTTGCATTACGATTTTTAACTGTTTATGTTAAAATGGTCAAATTTACTATGATTTATGGCTCTACTTTAAATTAAAGGCCAAAGGTTAAACTGATTTCTACACTGAGAAGACCCCCCCCCCTTCAGATAAGACAGGTGCCAGAACTCTGAAGTCAATGTGAGTTTTCAGAGATTAGTGGGTTGAGCGGTGAGCCGGCGATTAGCCTATTTTCTGGAGTGTGAAGCAGTGAGATGAAGATGCATTGCTCCTGAGCCCGGAGTCCATTTAGGGGGCCTTTGCTGCCACGGACGCCGCGTCTGCCAGAGGAGGCATGAATGATAAGCAAAAAGGGGGCAGAAATAGGTTTTGACACAAGCATTGCAGAGTCAAAGTGATGGATTGATAGACCTAATCATCACTTAACCAGCAGTGGAGCGCTGCAAAGGACTATTGAAGGCACAATTCAAATGTATTCATCCTGCTACGTTCAGGAAAACCACCTGAGGCTTCGCTGGCCTCCTCTGAACCCTTGAGGAATTTCCATTGAAGATTTCTGGGGTCACACATGCTTAAAGTTTAAAGGATAATTCTGGTTTATTATGTTTGTAGCTTGGGCCAATATTTCTAGAATATTGTACTCTGAGAATATGGTACAGTTTGCATCAGTTATGGCAACTTCTAATTAAATTATGTTCAACAGATGTGCCACATTGAGTTAGGGGAATTAGCTTTTCCTCTACAATCAAAAAGGTGTTTATGCTACCAAGTATTAAGTAAGTGGTAATTAATAACACAAGTTTTGATTAGGCTACTCATAACATTGCTCCAACTAGTTTTTCCATGTTATTTATGTCAACACAACTCATCAAAATAAAGTTTGCAAGTTAAAAATGTTTACATAGATCAATAAATCAGGAGTTTTATCTTGCAATCATGTGTTTATTTAAGTGGTGACAATCGACTAAATCACTTGTCTTTTTGGACCATGTCGAACTTGGTTTTACATCAGGCAGATTTTGAATATCAATAATAAACAAAAACATAAACAACGTTTATTCAGATTATCTTAAACTGAAATTTGGGTCTGTAAACTGTTTACAACAGATAGTTTGGGCCCTTTGCCTCCGTTTTTCATCATTCAAACATCATTCAAACATCACACTGTAGGAACAGCAAGAAATACTGAAAGTTTGACTAACTGAGGCGTTTATTTAAATCCCATCTGATTGATATTTTGTCGTTCATCCACTGGGAACATTGGAGACCCCTATCACGAGTGCATTTTGTGTGGTAAGTGGTGAGTTTATAGGTGACTAATGAGGCCTGCGCTGGCTCAAGAAGTCCTCCTGCAGTGATAAACGTGACAGACCAGGACTCACCTACTGTCAGCAGTTCTTGCTTTACTGGCTCATTGCTCCGCTGTTTAAGAGTCTGAAGCTTGGGTGTATCACTTCCCATATAATGACTCAAGCTGTCTTCAGACTGCAGCTTTGGACCAACGACACTAAAATCTTAAATCAGTACTTCTACTTTTTACCAGAGCATCTGTACTTCTACTTGGGTAAAGTATGTGTTTACTATTACCCCCTCTTATTATCGTTCCCTGGCAAAACCACCATCTACGCCCCTTTGGATGGTGTATTGTTTCTTCTTTTGCAGATATTTGTGAATATGGGTTAGCTCCTCGAGGGATTCTTTTTTAAAATTAAGGTTAATAATTTTTTTTAAAAAGGAAGAAACTTCGCCACCAACTCTGGATTCACCATCCAGTCCTGAGACTGACTACCATAAATAACCGTGGATGAGAGTCATTAAAATATAACATCATCAAAGTAACTGACACCTGCGTTATTCATGTTTGTCATTGTTTGTTCGGTGTGGAGTGAAGGGAGACGGATCTGAGCAGAGCGGGACGCCACCAATCAGATACACCTCCTCCACCTGAATCCTCCGCTTCAATCCAAAGTCAATTATGCAGCCCGCTCGCCTCTCTTCACATTTTCTGCCTGGCTGCTGATTCACAGAGCAGCCCCCGTTCTGCTCTGGCAGGAATCAAAGTGTGAGGTAATCTGAGGGGACTGAAGCACTGGGGGCCCTGGAGCCTCTCAGATTGGAAGTCACACTCCTGGCCGGGCACAGCACTGTCACACGGACAGGTCGGTAATTGTGGGCAGACAGTCCATCTCTGAGCAGGATTCCTGCATTACTGTCCGTCAGCTGTCACCTCACATCTAGATCTTCACCCAGGCCGCGCAGACACCTTTATCCACCCGCGTTAAAGCACCAAAAGGGACCAAAAATTGAGATCAAAGATCCACGACAGACCTTTGATAACTAGTAGAATACTGTGAAAATGGCTTTTTGTGCAGGGAATGGGGAGGCGGTGCGACACAAGGCCATTAATATTCCATGTAGTTCCGCCTGGGTTAGCCTCTCTTCTCCCACCCCCCCACCCCCCCCACCGTCATAGCTGCCTCTGCATTAACATTAACAGACTGTCTGAGAGAAACCTCAGGAGGCTCGGGAAAGCACTGGCACTCACCTGGCCTTGCATGTGAATAAAGTAAAGACCCCCCCCCAACCTGAGAAAACAATCAGCTGTT